GTGCACAGGAGGAAGATGAGGCTGCCTCTGCCGTTCCCTTTCCTGCCCGGACAGTCGGGGAACAAAACCCCAGGGCCTCTACCTGGGCGCTTTCCTTCCTCCTCTTGCCCGTGAACAGAAGTGCTGTGGGATGGGAAACCAGGGGCTGGCCAGGTCTCTACAGCTCCCAGGAACTGTGCCCCTTCAGGAAAGCCTCTGCTTAGTGGCCATGGTGTGAGCCCTTGGGCAGGTGAAGGGGGAAGCTCCCAGCGGGCGTCTCCAGAGGGCCCTCAGTTGTTCTGCCACCTAGCAGTCAGGGCCCGGTCTGCCACAGGGCATGGAGTCTCTCCAAGCTGGGCCCAGCCTGTGACACCCTATGTCCCACTCCAACCCGTTCTGATCTCAGGGCAGGGCTCCCTGCTAGCATCTAGCTCTTCCCAGAGTTCCCGGTCAAGGTGCTGAGGGGAGTACACGTGGCTGCTGTCAGCCCCTAGGCACGTAGCTTGCTCTGGGGTGCACAGGCCTGCAGCAACGACAGCTTGCAAGGGTCCAGAGGGGCAGAATGGGGCACTGACTGCTCTGCCCTCCTCCTTTTTCCCAGGGCCCGAGTGCAGCCCGCACGGCCACCGCACTGAGGACAGGGACAGACTCCTGCTCCCAGGAAGCTGGTGGCATTTGCAGCCTAGGAGAGTCACATATAGCTTCCCTATAACGCCTCCGCCGGCACACCCCTGGCCCTCAGATAGTGCCAGGCATTGGCCAGTCTCCTCACTTTCCACCCCCTCTGCCAATGTGTGAGCTATGCTCCAGCTGGGAGGACAACGCTGCCCCCTACTGGCCAGTACACCCCAGGTCCTGAGGGGGGACAGCAGCTCCCAGAATTTTTACCCTTGCTGTATTCCCCTTCCCAGGAGATCTGGAGGCCTGGTGCTGGCAGGAAAGGAGCCAGATGGCAGGGAAAGGTCTGAGAGATGCAGCTAAAGGCACCAGAGGCACAGGGCAGTGAGAGGCTGGACTGAGAGACTCTGAGGAAGGAGCAGGGTGAATGGGGAACCAGCCACAGGAATCCATGGGGAACCCAGAACCAGCCACAGGAATCCTAGGTCTGTGCAACAGCCTTTGGGGCACCTGGGATGAGGCCATGCTGGGATGGAAATGCTGGGTGTATTCACTCCATTCCAAGCACCTGGAGGGGCCATCCCTCCCAATGCCAGTCACTGAAAGCAGGTATCCCTCCCGCATGACACCAGAGGACTTTATGAGAGGGAAGGAAGCAGCTGGGACTTCATGAAGGGAAGGCTGGGAAGGAATGGTGAATGGGGTGGGAGACCCAGAGGCACCTACATGGTTGTGGGCAGAGCTGGTGAGATCAGTTTGAAAAGTGCCCACCTGCAACCCTGCCATTGCTCCTCCCTGGGATGGTAGCTGTCCCATCACATGCTTGTGCCACTGGGATAGGGCTGCTAGACAGAGAGACCACATAGGGTGACAGTAAATGTAAATAGAGAACAGTCTGCCAGTGCCCCAGGAATGGAATGGCTCTGCAGCTGGGCCCCTACTCCCCACCCCTGCTCCTGCAGCCAGCCACTGGGATGGGTCTGGAAGTTCCTGCAGCTGCATTGGTCGGGACCAGAGAAAACCTCAAATCTGAGGAGACATCCTCTTCCCGAGCTACGCACAAGCTGATTTCTAATCCCAAGATGCTCATCAGCTCATCAATGTGCCAGGCCAGGCCCCCGTGCCGGGATCCAGTTATGAGACTGATGTTCGGCACAGTCACCCCACATGGCCACAGCTAGGGCCCCTCTCCTCGCCCGCAGCTCTGGACGACCCTGTCTCACATTCCCCCGCCACTCCCACCCCCCAAGGATGAGCCTCTTGATGACCCTTCCAGAGCAGCTTTGGGTGCAGATCTCAATGCTCTGCTCAAACATAGTGATAGAAATGTAGCCGTGTTAGTCTGGTGTAGCTGAATAAAAAAACAGGACTATGTAGCACTTTAAAGACTAACAAGATGGTTTATTAGGTGATGAGCTATCTTTGTAATAGGTACGGTAATTAGATTCTTTATTCAAACTCAGGCGTAAAGTGTCGAATTTAAGCATGAAGGACAGTTCAGAGGATTCTCTTTCAAGTGCAGTCTTAAAAGGTCTTTGAAGCAGGTAATCAGGTCGTTGAGACAATGTCCTTTCTGGTTGAAATGGCAAGAAACTGCTTTTTCTTTGTGATCCTGTCTAATATCTGCTTTGTGGGCATTGATCCTTTGGCGAAGTGTCTGAGACGATGCGTGTGCCCTCCCGCCGCTCCCAAGCGGTTGGCCCCGCCCGTGCTGGGCGAGGGAGGAAAGGGCGGCCAGCGAGAGGGGATGGGACGTAGCCAAGATCACTGAGCAGGCCGCAGACCCCGGACGCCTTTGGCCTTGCATAGACCGTACCCCCACCCGCCTCCTCCAGCCATGTGCCCCCAGCACCCCCTGGCAGGCCCAGCACCCCGTGGGCCACCCTGCGCTGAGGGGAGTTTCCAGGGAACACAACTGGGCTCTCAGGGGTTGGAGAGGCCTTGAGCCCATCACCCTGGCAACGGGGGGGAGAGGCGGGGGCGCCGGAACGGAAGCTGCCCGGAACCTTGC